ACCATCGAATCAAGCCATATTACACCATTGTAGAACGACATCACTTTGAAGTAGAATTGTGCTTGGTTGACCTTATCTTCCGTCACACACCGCGTTTTACAAAGCAGCCAGTAAACGATTGCCTGCAGAATCTTCTCAATCAGATACACTGATTTTGCACCAAGGATGAGCTTTTTCATTTCATGGCTTYTTTGGCCTGTTTTTACTAAGAAAACCGTTTCCATAACCAAAATAATGAGGGTCACAACACCAACAAAATTCATAGGAAGTAAATGTTTGATTTTGTATACCTTGTCATCCTTATGGTGTGGATTTATACAAGGGATTGGACAATTTTCAGTGCAGTTGAGGCTTGGGCGCTTTTTGAAAATCCATAAGGCCATCAAGAGGGTCGTTATACCAATGGTTAAATTTGCTGAGATTCCAAAGCCAAGTTTCACTTTCAAGTCATCAATATCTTCATATTTGTCGTTTGTGAAAATATGGAGTAGCATAACGGCAGTGCCAACTAGAAATAACACTTTACAGGCTTCAGGCTTAGGGCAGTAGTTGTATCGGGTGCACAGTATCATTAAGATGAATATGGCGCCGTAGAATAACCCAGCACCGATCGCGGCGATAAACTCACATGCCTCTTCTGTAAGCTTTCGATCTTCCATCGATGTATTGTGAATCAATGATGAATTTGTAACATTTGTGAAATTCATCTTGATAGGTAGCACAGTTTTGCTCACAGTTTTTACTCACTAAATTTAACTGAGTTATGCTATTAGTTTTAGCAACAAAAAGCAATAATCTATTGCAGTTGTTACTTCCCGGAATCCTTTATCATCTAAGTTTGACCTCTAAATAAGTAGACGATTTCCCAGAAGCATGTGTGCGCTTTCAAAGATATCGCGGGCGCGTTGACGAGTTATTTTCGTGTAAAAATAAAAAGATCTTTTCGGATCTATATTGTGTTATTTCGTGAAAGATCTTTTAATCCCATATATTAGTAACATATATCTCCTAGATATTTTTAAAATTAATAAGCATACACAGTCAATCCCTTTAACCCTCTTTTGACGGCATGCATTGTAGAGTATCGTTCGAATTCAACCGATGCGACTAAAATCGATTATAGTTACCAATCAAAATAGTAAGCTATAACCCTGAGAAATCGCAGCTATTCAAAGAGACTACATTTCAGTCGAGGACTACAAGAAACACTGATTTCCATCTCAATTTCTAGCGTGAAACACATTTTACCAGCAAAAAGTCCATTTCGCTCGCAAGACCTTTTGATAGAACGTCCTTATTTTGCCGTTTTTATTCTGTCAAAGTCAGACCTCTCAAGAGCCCTTTTTTGAGCACCCGGTACAACAAACTCCTATGCAAGACCGAAATGCATGATAGGAAGGGACAAAATTTGGACATCTTGCACCATTGTTCTTTTAAGATTTTTTTTATAAGTGTAAGCTCTTTCGCACGTACAGGCAAAATATTAGGCCGGTTGAGTTCTTTGGATGTCAAACATTGCCAAAATTACCTTGGTAGGTTGGAAATTCTGCCACAGATGGACCAGGAAAGCGATCTTTAGTATGATGTCTCCAGTTCAATGAAAACCGTGATTTGGAGCCATTGTCCTCGAAAGATCGCTTACTTCCTCTCACTCCTTCCAGAAGATTGTATTGTCTCTGCCTTCTAGTCAAGATTAATGATCCTAGGAATTGTAACGATTATATTGAAACATAATGCAAAAGTCAATGATCAAAGCAAAAATTATAAAGAAATACACATAAAAATAGCCATGTTCCCTTATTTATTCGTATACCCAAAAAATTAAATATTATTATATATATTATTATTATTATTATTAAATATTATTGTATTATTAAATGAAATGATATATAGTATAAAACAATCTTCTCGGGTGTCTTTTGAGTTCATTCCTTATCCTATTAAGTGCAATACATTGAGGGCGAAGTTACCTGATATGGTGCCGAGTATACCTTAAAGGTCTGGGGCGACATTACCGTAAATCATGCAAGCCCATAGTGCTCCTGTTCGAATGCACATCATTTTTGCTCAATCAACTCGAAATTTTAGGTTAAGATTTTATTGAAACTTCGTCAGTGTATCAATTATGTTATTAAGAAATGATTCTGAAAATTTTATTGCAATCTCTGCGATGAGTTTCGAGAAAATTAATTTTGAAGAAAAATGAAGGTGTTTTTATTTTGCATCGTTTATCCAAATAGCTTCGCTTTTTGGCAAATTAATTTATCAACAAGAATTATCGATAATCACTGTGACTTCTGTGAAAGTTTGAGTGCTATTGAATCAAAATTTGCGCCGTAGTTGGAGTTTAAAAATACGCGTGAAACTCTATTTATTACGATCGAAACACCTTAACTTTCAAGTCATCAATGTCTTCATATGTGTCGTTAGTGCAAACATGGAGTACCAGATGAACAGCGGCACCGACAAGAAATAACACTTTACAAGTTTCGGTATTAAGACAGTGATTGAAGCGGGCACATCGTATCGTTAAGAAGAACAGAGCGAGGTAGAATAACCCAGC